CTGTATTCATGGAAAATATCTTAAATTTTATAAAAACCTAAATTAGTAGGATTAAAAATGTTAGTTCAATGAGTAATTCCCATAAATCCCATTTATTTAAGGCAGTATTTCATTTTAACTTGATGATAGTCAGTCAATATTTAGTTCTAAAGTTGAGTTTTAAGAGTTTTTTGTTTTCTTATAAGTAGACTCTAGACAGAATCTACAATGTATAAGTCTACATTCAGGGCCCCTGCCCTTAGCTCAGTTGGTTAAGTGCCTACTCATGCAAAGGCAGTCAGGAGCAGGATACTGCAGTTTGATCCCCAACTAGCCCTGTCCTTCAGGCATCCTGAACCACGAAAAAAAAAATCCTATTCAAGACTACATTCAGTTCTAAAATGCATTTATGTCCTTGTTTATATGGCTCAAGATAGTAATTTTATTTTTACCATGAATTCAAATAACTTATTAGTAAGTAATTTCTACATTTAATTTTCTTTGACAAATACTCTCTTTATAAGATGAAATAATACCAGAAAACTATAAAATGTATCTGATAAATTATAAACATGAAACAAAAAATATATTTAGAGAAATTTAAATGCATTTTTTATCTATAAACTCTATTTTAGTGAACAAAAGTGCAACAAGAGAAAATATTGTTGAAAATACCAGAAATTAAAAATACTAAAATGCTGTACAAAACATTTGGATAAAATCTAAATTCACTACATTAGCTAAAATTAAGATTCAGGAAACACAACAGATTGGTCTCAGTTTTAGTTTCTCAAAGGGAATGTTTTACTACTGGCAATATTTATTTTGAAGTCCCATGAGTTCTTTGAAAGTTATCCAAACACTAAAATGCTAAAAGCAAAGTAAAAGTTTAATTGAATTCTCCATGACCAACAATTTAATGTAATAGTCATTTCCCTAGCTGTCCCAGTCATACATTCTGGCACCAGAATAATTGCTACATATAAACTAATCTGAAGCATAGCATATTAAAAAGATATTTTATTAAAACCTAAAACTCACTAAAAGGTTTTGAGCATTATGTATTGCTTACTCCTACTTGGCCTGGTATTTTAAAAAGCTGTCTCCACATCTTTTTCATTTGTTGCTATGAAGGTAATTTCAGATCAAACCTAGGTGTACTTTACATAATTGTCCAATGCCATCCCAACAATAAACAGGGAGAAAGGAAAATAATACAAAATAGATGAATTTTCTTGTCAGATTCTTTGTGGCAGCTCTCTGAAAGCTGTCCGACCATTTTTTCTTATGAACTCCAATACAGTTTCAGATTTTTTAGTCAGGGTTTTTCCTTGTCTCAAAGAAATCAGGGAACTACATCTTTATATTTTGTTCAGTTTTTGTTTTACCATATAACTTTAAATTCATCTTTTTTTATCAGTACCTACCCCTTACTCTTCTTTAATTTTCAGTCATAAATAACTTCAAGTTTCACAGGGCCCTCAATTCCAACCTCTTATTTCAGCTTCTGTGGCCATAGTTTCTGTTCCTAAAGTTTTTACCCACTTTTTTTTTTATGAGGGGCTATGTTTCAGGATAGAAATACTTCTGTGTTTCACTTTGGAAAATATTAGGAACATCATGCGAAAATCTCCTACACCTTGGTCCTGGTATTATTAAAAGAGAAAGTTGAACCAAGGAACAAATAGTAAAGCATGATCCTAAAAATGTTTTACACTTAATATCTATAATTTGCCAGTTTTCAGCTTTTAAATGTGTATAGATTTTCTTTTACTAACAAGTTTACATGAAAATGAGCTATTGGGATAGCCTAACTGTGGCAAATGACTTTAACGTTCCTATGACATAGAAATTGTTGTTTTTAGCTTCGTTATTTTGGGGCAACTATGGAACAAAGATGAAACCCACTTGGTTGTACATTAGCAACAAAATTCTGAGTACCATCTGCATTATTGTTCACTATTAGGAACTAGTATTTTTGGCTCTTGTACACCTTCTCCTTGACCTCAGTATAGAGAATGTTTTTATCAATAAGGAAATTATTGACAATGAATTTTAGATCTTTTTTGGTTGGTATTTTCCCCTGAAATTATAACAAATGTTAAGTAAAAAAGAAAAATTGTAGCATTTGGGGTTTAGAGATTATTTTATATTTGAAAAATTCTTTAAACAGTTATAAGACACATTTTAGAAATATTTCATATCTTAGATACTGGGAGAAGGAAATGAACTTATTCAAAAGAAAAGAGTTACTGAATTTAGGAGAAAGACAGGAGAGGTAGTGGCAGAAAAATATTTACCTATGTATGTAAGCAGGATGATTTGGACAACTGTACTGTGCATTTCTGCTGATGTATGGAAAGAACCAGTTAATGCTTTAATTTGTTTCATCTTTTTTCAGTTTCTTTTTCTCTTAATTTCTTACATATTTCTTTTTTTTTTCTGTCTTCTTCCAATTTTACATGCATATGTCTAGTAATATGAATAACTGGTTGGAAGACAACTCTGTGTATTACAATAAATACTGTGAAATTTGTATTACTTTGTCAAGTGAAATTCCATATCACTTGTAACTTTTTGTGTTTTAATTCTAATTTGTACTCTCTTCAAAAAATAAAAACAGATTATGTAAATGTTTAGATTTTGAAAAATTAATCCACACTATTTTTAACTGATATAATATGTAATGTAGAATAACATCCCAGATGTTGTTTTGTGAGACCATCACAACAGAAGTCATATCCTGAAAACATAATTTCAGATTGGAGAGAAACTTTCAGAAGGTTTCAAACATGAAAATTTTATGTAAAAAGAGTCAGAATAAAAAATGATATAAAACTGTTCACTTTATGTAGACTTGCAATGTTATTTTTCATTTATTGCTAAGACTATTAACACAACAAACTGTTAGACACACATTTAATTCATTTTCAGAGGTGTCTTAGAGTTGGATCTTTGTAACTTCCGTATAACAATTATTTATCTCTTGCTTTATTCAATCTCATACCCACTACTGCAGTGATACTTATACAAATATTCCATAAAAAATTCACCAAGTTTGTATAATAATCAATGTGTCATAAAAAAGTGAGGCACATATGGTAATTCAGGCTGTCATTTGTACCTGCCACTTATTCTGAAGCATTTTATACTATTAGCTGAACACAAATAATTATTCATCACTCTAACTAATGTGCCATTTTTCCTGAACCATTCTTCTTGGTATTAAAAAAAAAAAACAACCTCTTTGTGTTCAGTATACAATGATTCCACAGGAACCCTAATAAACTGCTGTATGCAAATTAAGGTTTCCTTTTCATTAGAGGCAAAAGAGTACGTCACTCATGAGCTCTCTTGTCCTCTGGATAGATTAGAAAAATCATTGAAACTACTAAACAAACAGCCACAAGCACTAGTAAATGAGAAACAACCAAGATCTGGAACTTAGGGGACAATCCAATGGACGCATATTTGCAATCCATCAAGACATATCCTGTAAAGTAAGACAAAGAAACAGAAAAGAAAGAAGAAAAATGAGGTTCAAGATCTCTTCTTTCTATTTCCCTGGAATAGCTATGTTCGTTGTACCTGGGAATGGTTGCTCCAAACCAAGTTTTGGTAGGAGGAGGCAGGTTTGAGGGTGGAGAGCGCTTCCTGTGAACCAATGGGGTCCAAGGCTTGCACTACCTTGTTCATAGGCCCACTGTAGGTCCTCACTCGTTCATAGACTACATTTTTTTCTAAAGGCTGTTGGGCTTGGCTTGGCTGATGGTGGCAATAGTAATGCTGGGGCTGGCACTGTAGCACCTCAGGAGGCTGATGGGTCCCGCAGCTGCTGCTGGTTTCGTTCCAATAGCTTGAGCTCATCATCTTGTCAGTCTTTCCCTAAAGAATAAAAACACAAAGACAATGAAAAGAGTGCAGGCACACATAGAAGTCATTTACAAACAATCTCTTCATATTGTGGTGCTTGGGGAAAATCGAGTTACCTGAGCAGAAGCAGGAGCAGGAGCAAGTCTGGCAGCTGTAGAAGAGGCAGCAAAGCATTTGAGCTTAAATGAAAAGTGGAACCACCCTGTGAGATTGCTCCAGGAAATAGAACTGACACGCCTCTGAGGGTGGATTCACCTGGCAGGTTTGCGTGCCAAGAGAGGCCCTGCCTTGCCAGAAAACAGATAGAAGGTTTCTCAGTAGGTAAAGGAGTCTGGGAAAAGCAGAGACGCAGACTTTCAGGGTCGAAGCCAGATCTCTATGCCCACGAGATCAGAAATTTGAGGGCAAGGATATATTAATGCCCAAATTTACTAGAGGAGAAAGTTCACAAATATTACAAGAAAGTGCCTTCCACAGGTTCCTACATTCAGCAAAGTTGGTTAAAAGTCTAAGTACTGTGGCTTCAGAATCTCACACCAAATTAAGAGGTATTCCCCTAGGGACACACCAATTTTTAGAGATAAAAGCCACATTCTTTTTAAAACCAAGTTGCAGATAAAGAACATTTTTGTGAGGTTGCCTTTTAGCAACTCTTTGTTTTTCTAAAATACCTTGAAAGGGATTTGTCCAAAAGACTTGATTTGTTGTCCAGAAACAGAGGTTAGGTTATAGTGGGAAGAGCCTTCGAAAACGTACCCATTCCACAAATGCTTTGCATTTTGACGTTTACATTTATTGTTTGACAGTTTTACAAGGGAGTTTACTTTGAATTTATTTATTGATTTATTTATTTTATCTTGTAGTAGTGGGAATCAATCTGAGGACCTTGCACTTGCCAGGCAGATGCTTATGCCACGGAGCTATTTCTCAGCCCTGAATTTATTTATATTCTAGGAAACACTGCATTTGATTGCTTCTTCAATAGGTGCCTTACCTGACATGATGAGATTTTTATCTGTTCAACATGTGTTTATTCCTACTTGAAATTTCAATAGTAATGTCCATTTACTCACTAGATTTTGCCTTGCAAGGAGATTTAGTACCACTGAACTGCACAATATTCATTTAAGGATACCTTCAGAAAAGGGGTCTCTTGCTGTATGTATATGTACGATAGGGCCAATTATACTATACAATATTCTGGAGAGGAAGAGAATGTCATCTAGTTAACTATTCATCAATTTTTTTCCTGATGAATGAGCATAGAGTAAGTAATTACTGGTCACTTACTGTGTGCTATGTACTGTTCATGAAGATGTATATGATTTATCTCACCTTTGCAACAACTTTATAAGGACGTTTAAGTGAGAAGCTCAGTCACAGGTATGGAAAAGTTAAAAAGAAAAAACTTTCCCAAAGTAAAATAACTAGAAAACGGTGGATATCAATTTTTTTTTCAGAAATGGGGATTGAACTCAGATCCTTGCATTTGCCAATCAAGCACTTATCCTACTGAGCCATCTCCCAGACCCCTCAAATTTGAACATAAGGGCTAGGGTATAGCTCAGTGGCACAGCACCTGCCTGGCAAGCACAAGGTCCTCAGTTCAATGACCCATACAAAAAAGGGGAGGATTTGAACATAATTGGATTCACTTTAAAGTCTAAGCTCTTACATATTATATTATATTATATTACAATGCTAGCAATTATTTTGCATCTGGCTAACAAATCTAGTTAGAAAAGTATAAGTGAAGCAGTTCCAAAATGCCAACTTTCAAGTAATTTTCAAAGGAATCTTTGAATTATTATGGCAGAAGGGTATGTAAAAAAAGCTCAAAATCAACCTTAACAATTTTACATAATATACTATATATGTACACTTAAATTTGTGTGTTGTGTGCAGAGTTTTCAAATCTAATCTTTGGTCATTCTAATGCTATTTCATAGGAATCAATGAGAATTTATTTAAAAACATGTGACCTACCAAGCAACCCAGTAAAATATCAGATCACCATTTCACTAATATTAACATTATAAGTTTGAATAAATTTTATGTGTGAACAGGGAATGGATTTTAATTGGGGTCATCTACTAAGCTATGGTTGTTAAAAACTGAATGTAAAACACATACACACACACACACACACACACACACACACACATCCACACACTGCTGCTAGTATCTGCTTCCAGCAAACATGTGACCTAGCAAATAAAGCATGAGAATAAGGTAAAGGATAAAAATTATCTTCCTCATAAAATGGTTACCATAATTGTTCTGTACATTTCTTGAATATATGCTATTTTGAGGCAGCCACTTTAATGCAATTGGGCTCAAATTGATGTGTACAATTCATATCCTTACCCAGAGCTTTCATCACTGCTGCCCATCCCTGAAAATGAAAGAGTGAGAACTTGAGGTTTGTGGGTAAAGAAATGTTATCAGGCCCTATGTAGTGGACAAGCCATATCTACCTACAAAGTAGATGTTTACCTCCCTCGTTCATCTCAGAGAGGTTAATCAATCATTCTCAAGAAAGTTTCTGCTCCTCTGAGAATACACTTATACTTTCATCATCTGTATCTACAAATGTTTTAGCTCTCTTTTGTAAGAATGATGCTAATACTAATCTATTTTATTAATAAATAAATAAATATATATTTATTTGTTTAATAATAGTACTTACCCTGTTTAACATTTGAAAATGCAAGGGACTCTTCTTCAAGTTTTAAGATTAGTCTATGCTAACATTGGTAGATAAGGTAGCCCAAGTTAATTTCCTATGTGCTCTGGGATGGCTCAAGGAATCCTAAATTATATTTCCAATAGTGTTTTATTTTTTTGTTGTTTCATTGAGGAATATGTATGTTTTGTTTAGTACTAAAACCACTCATTGGGCTGGGGATATAGCTTAGCCGCATAAGCCCTTGCCTGACAAGCTCAAGGTCCTGAGTTCCATCCCTGGTAACAACTCACCCAACCCCCTTCCCGAAACCCCCATCATTTATGATGAAAGGTTTGGAAGATAGAGTGGATATCTTGTTAGAAGCTAATTTTGTTTTAACAAAGATAAAACAACCTTTATTGTTTCTAATTATTAAAAATGATTTTCTCAGTACTAAAGATTTAATCCAAAAGCTTTATACTAAACTACTTGTCCAGCCCTTTATGTATATAATTTTTCTTTTTAAAGACAGGGTCTTATTAATATGACAAATTGCTCAAGCTGGCTTGAACTCATGATCATTCTGCCTCAGCTTTCTAAGTACTGGGATTACAGGCATTTCCCAACTTAATTATTTTAAAGATTCAATAGGGCCGGCCAAATAGCTCAGCAGAATAAAGTGCCTGCAAGCAGGTGCAGGGGTCCCCTGCCTGGCCGGCCCCACCTCCAGGGTGTGCTGACACAGCAACTGAGACTGGGCATGGTGGCATACACTTTTAATGCCAGCACTTGGGAGGCTGTACACAGGAGAACCAGAATGAGTCCGATCTAGCTGTACAACCCTGAACATCCTGTAGACCCTTCCCTAAAATACAGAAAAAAATTAAAAAATAAATTTAAAAAATTCAAATGAATCAAAACAAAATAAAATAGAAAAATAAACTTCCCATATTAGTGATAGTAAAGGGTGGGTAGGGTAAGGAAAAAGAATGTTTGCTGAACATATTAATGGTAATAAAAGACAACGATTTATATTTTGATTGAGCTGCTTTGATTTTTTTATTTTGTTTTATTGAGAAATAAATATCAATGAAACAGTTTCAAAGTTGATTAATAGGACATTTTCAATAATTAATACATTGTACATTGCTATCTTCTTAGTGGTTATCCATAGTACAAGAAGCAGACAGGATATCCTGTCCAAACATTATTACCACAAATCTGTCTTCTCATTGAATTAAGCGAAAGTTGCTGTATATCTATCCCAACTAATCTGTATATACAAATACAAAGTGGTCCTTCCTTTCTATCTCCTCTTTTGTTTAGTCCTGTCAGAGGTGGGTATTCTATTGGCATCTAAATACTATAGGTGCTTGAATTCAGCCAAACAATCCAACACAGTCCAGCAGTCCACAATAGTAGTGGGTTATCTGCAAAAGTTGTTGACAAGAGCCTTTCACAGCTCAGAATATTAATATGGCTTTTCTTTGTGTACCTTATTTTTTTATTTTTTCTGCTGGATGGTTAAGACCAAGATAAAGCAAGACCTACATAACAAGAAATGTAACTTTTGTATCTGATAAGGTCAGTCAAGTACCCTCAGAATTTATCCTGTAACTCTGTACCTCAGATTGTAGAACCTTTGTCAGTGTCAGCCATGTGGATGAGTCATGGCCATTGCTTGACCAATTTGATCTCTGTGAAAGCCTGAGAGAAAGTTTTCTCTCCATGTGACTCTCCTTAAGCACACTCTACATCACTGATCACATTTCTCTGTGGCCCCATAATCTCCTTGATCAGAAAATTTGGGACACAACTGAGTTAAATGATGTTACAATACAGGTTCTCATATGTCCTCAGTCTTCACTAACCTTGAAAGGCTAGGGCCAAAATGTTGGCTGACCTTGCAGCCCTTCCTTTTCTCCAATTTTTGATCTGCAAACTTAGGTTGTTAACCCTCTAGAAGAGAAGCTTATTATTACCCTGCAACATATGCAGTTCAGTTTACCCTATCTGTCTAAATATCAAACATCTTAGGCATAACATGGAATAGGTATTTTCTATCAAGTATTGATGTATTGAACTTTACGTCCTTACAGAATATGAAGAAAATTTTTTTAAAAATAGGAATAAACACATATTTCTGCACAGAAATTTAGAAATTTAACCATATACAGCATTGCAGCAGGACAGTCCTGTGACATTTTTTTTCTTTTTTTTGAGCTGCTTTGAAAGCCATCTAAATTTTTCCTAATTTACCCTACTGAGAAAGCTATAAAAACAGAAACAGTTTATTCTATTCTCATAACACAGAACACTTACATAACCAGATATGTGTTTTCTTTTCTCCTATCCATCATATAATGAATTACTGCAGCAGTCACTAGCTGGATGTTCTCTAATTTGATTCACTTCTGAGACAATCTACCTGGAGATTCTACAGACTGGGGGATCAGTCTCCTAGAATAACTCACCATTTCAGATGTAGCCACAAGTCCCATATTGTTTTCCCACCTGTGGTTCTTCCTGATCT